GCTACAGTGAAGTTCGAACAGCTGAATCTAAATGTGAGTTTCGTCATAAAGTTGATGTTTGATGAATTTGGGATAAGACGACGTCACCAGACCAGGCAGGGAAACAGTGTTTGCTGTACTGTGGCCACGTGAGGTGAACCTGGGATCTCGTTTCCTTTGAAATGCTTCAAACACGCGACCACTCGCAGTCAGCTGCCATCTTGGTGCATCAAGAAGCGCTAAGAGTTGCAACATTCAGCTCTGAGATGAACTGGAAACAACCTTCACCAGTGTGATGATGACTGCATCAGTCCCAGTCAAACCACGGTTGTTGGCTCCGCCCTGTGCAGTCACCGAGGTTGAGCACTCGACCTCAGGCTGACCAGTTTACAGCACCAAATGTTCCCAGACACAAAATAGTGGCGCCATGAAGAGTTCCTCTGAGAACCAGCTCGGTTCAGGATGAAGTCAGAGTGTGTTACCTGTGCTTTGTGTCATCAGCTCGTCCACCTGCCGCTCGGTGGCGTTCAGTCTGAGCGTCGTGGCCGACAGCTCGATGTCACGGCCTGAAAACAGATTTTATTTTAATGACCTGCAGAACCAACGAGACCCCGCCCCTCACCTGCGTCTCCACAAAGGTCTCAGCTGTAAACATCAGCTGAGCAACAACAAACAGTGGTGTGAAGCGTCACCTCATGTCTGACTGAGAGCTTAATGAGCAACTCCTCAGGTAGGAGCTGATGATACCTGCAGCACGAGTCTCCAGATGTTCCAGCTGTGTCTCAGAGGATCTCAATCTGACCTCCACGGCTGCACAACAAACCACTTTGTCATCGTTCACACAGCAAACAGCTTCTCAGTTTCCGCTTTGCTTTAAACTGTCTACAGTTGGTACAAAGGTGTGACTTTAACCTCCGTGTGTTACCTGTGTGCTCCGACAGCAGCTGTTCCAGCTGTTCGTCTCCTCGCCTCAGCCTGGTGAACATCTCTAAACAGAAACAGCAGCTGTGAGCGTGCTCAGAGCGATCCTCACGGCGTGCTCTCTGACAGCCGTACCTGTGTTCAGGTCGCCCTGCAGGCTCGCGCTCGCGCTCCCGTTTGTCTGCAGCTTCGTCAGTTTGGAGCTTTGATCTGAAACGTGGACAGTAGACAAACAAAGGGCCTCACACACACACACGCTTCATTTCACCGGAGGTTTCATTTACCTGATGTTTCCGTCTGCAGCGCGTGGACCTGATGCTCTGTGGAGTTTAGTTTAAGCTGCAGCTGCTTCACTGAGTCGCTCTGAGCTGCAAACACAGGAAACGCATCACAGGTGACCTGAGAGCAGCTGCGTGCTGTCACATGTTGCAGATCACCTGACTCACCTGTGCTGGTCAGCTCCAGCTGCTGCACCCGACTCTTCACGGCCGACAGGTTTTCTTCCCACGAGGCTGCGACAGCTGAGAGGAGAGAAGACGATCCGGTTA